ACCAGACAACCATTCAGCCATAAGAACACTTCTGAAGGCTCAGGGTATAGAGGAGGCAGAAGTGGATACCAGAAGTAGGAAAGGCTGATCATTTCCTCTGGGGATAGTTCTTTTGGGAATCCTCCTGTCAGACTGATCCATTTCTGTTTGGCTTGGTAGCTGCAGTACCACTGTCTTTGCAAATAAGCCTCTGAAAGCAAGAGGTTTTTAGCTGTGTTCTCAGAAAACATTTTGGACCTTTCTTTTGTTAGAAGTAGTGCAAATACACATCTTTTTTTAGCCTAACTCTGAGACAGATTGCTTTGTCATTATGATTAGGAGCACATGGTTAAATTACAGGAGAAAATGATTCAGGCTTGAAATTGCCTAGAAGCAAACAGAAGTGAGATATTCTCTTCATAATTAGGCCAGAATATAATAATGCATTTTTAAATCTAATGTTATTGGTTAATTTGGAATATATTATTTGCACATGATCTATGTTCTTGTCACCGTTTTGTTTCTCTTCAGGAGAATTGGATCCGGAAAGAATGGGCTCAGGTATTCAGTATGGAGATGCTGCCTTGAGACAGCTGAGATCACCACGTAGAGCACAAGCACAAAGTGCTCAAGAATGTGGGTGTTAGAGAAACAAAACAAAAAATCCCAAATACTTACTTTAGATACAGAAGGTAAGGTTACAAAAATTTCAGGGTGATGGGTAAAGTACTGTCCCTCTTAAATGTGCTGAATTGAGTGCTTGGCTTTTTCTCAGTTAGCCTTTAAAGTTACACAGACTCTATTGTAATAATGTACAGTAAAATGGACTGGGTTTTTTATACTTCCAGTTTTTCTTCTCTCATGTGTCTACTAAAGCAAGGCTAGTGCTCTCACTGAAGTATTTCTAGATCTTAGCTTACTCTGAGTAATGCTGTGGAAAACACTTAAAAATTCTCTATTCATGAAATGCAATATAGGCCTAGTAGCTCCCTAATGCCCTTTCTCTAAATTGAATCAGTTCTGTTGCGTCATGGACAAACAGAATGAGAGTTCACAGAATGTATGGTACAGTATCTTGTCATAAGCTATTATAAAGTCTTTTCTGAAAATATGAGGCTTAAACACTGGGACTTGAAAAATTAAAGAGAACAGTGGATTTCAAACTTTCACTGACTTTTATTCCCTTACCTAAAAGCAGCCTGAAGTTATTCTGATTCCTGTCTGCTGGTAGCAGAAATGTAAATAAGGCAATAGTAATACTTGCTGCTTAAGCAGCGTTGTCATCTAAAGGAGCTGTTCTAGGGTTGTTTCAGGCTATGAAACAGATTTGCAGTCTTGTAAATATGTTCTTCAGAGAAAGTGAGGAAAAGATTTTTCCCTTTAGCAGTTGTGGGAGAAGAGACTCAAAAGTCACATAACCCACTCCTAAGAGCAGGAGGTTAGTCTTTCTTATAAACAGTTGTCCTTAAGACACTTCTCATCGTTTGTTGGATTTTACATAACTCCTTGCAGTATGCAGTGGCATGCTGTCCTTTCTCCCTGTGTATTTAATTATTCTGATATAATTAATCCTTATTTCTGTAATACAAGGACAGTGATATCAAATAAGTACTGCAGGCATAGTTTCTGCATCATCTTTACTGTAATCATTTATCAGCTTGAGCAGTGCACGCCAGCAGAAGCTTTATAGAATGTTAAGTAAGGCAGCATATAATTCTACATGCTCATATTTTGTTCTGTGTTCTGGTAACTTAGCTCCCAGTTAAAGCTCGGAATTTTAAATAATGGATGAGAAAATCGTTGAACTGCTTTCCTCCTATAAAACACCATTCTTCTACTAAGAGACTGTTGGAAAAGGATTTTAATTTAGTTCAGCTTCGGTATGGCTCTACAGAAATGATTATTTATTGACCTTTTTTCAGGAGCTGAGTTTTCAGATTGATCAGGTATGGGTAACTGATGGAGTTCTTGTGTATTTTACAGCTCTCCTTGCAACTGGTGTTTGAAGAAACAGAAAAGCTTGAAGGCTATGCAGTTTTTAAAAGCATCTTTCCGCTGTCTACAAACAGAGCAGATCACTGCTGCCAGAAAGGTGTACCCTGTGGTGTGGGGCAGGAATGTGCACAACACTTAAGTCTCTGCAAAGCGAACTTGATAGTTTGGACAATATTAAGACTTGTACCTGTATGTAAACATTTTCCATTACCTGTTTTTGTTCTTTCACCTCTAGTTTAAAGCATTGCAATGTACTGTAAATAATGTAACAGTAAATTTACAAAGCATGGTATACTTATGTATGCTGATAGAATGTTGCACTATGAGCAGTTTAATATTTTATTTTTTTATCATATAAACAAATTTAACCGAGGTAGGCTTTGTCACGTTTGTTTGTTGCACAATAGTTTTTATTTGCAACCTGAATTATAAAACCACTGGCAACTGTCAGTGAGAGGTTGTTTTATTTTTTCCTACTTAGTTTGCCACATTTTAACAAACCGTTGACAGGACTGATTCTCAGTGTGTGGTTAGGACCCATACTTATGTATACTGGTATGTCCAGTTAGAAAATGAAAGTTAAAGCACAAAAGCATTGCAAGAATGCTACACAGAGGTAAACCATCTTTCCTGAAATTAGGATTATGTTTGTTCCCATTGTTCTGACATCTTTGGTTCAAATGTATCTGAAAAGTATGCACCTTAGGTTTCTCTGAATTGAACAGAATTAAGTGTGCTTTGTACTTGAAAAGCCTGGGTTTAGTTTTAAAAAGACTGTTGAGAAACAGTCCTTCTGACTGTCCAGAAACTTTCAGGTTCTCTCTCTCCTCTGATTGTTGTATTTAGGATTGGCTTTGTTACATAACTGATAGCAATTATTCCCAATAAGTATTCTCCTCCTGGTAAGAGTGTGAAGTGTTTTTGAATCAGCTTAACTGTGCTTTAACAAGAACATCAGAGAACTCCTAAGAAACTCACCTGTCTTAAACCTCACTCAATTCAGTTTGACTTTCAGAACTGCAAGAAATTACCAAAAGCAAGCCCTCTGGAGTCAAAGTGGGATGGAATTGTTTCCTCCACCAGTCCAAACAGACCATTATTAAGGTTGATATGTTGTGTTTCTGCCAGAGTTGCAGAGGGTGTCGGTCCCAAAACCCCACACTGGTTCTGGAATGCTGGGAAAAGAGGAGGTATTGGGGAATCTGTTCCACCCCTTACCCCAACACAATCAGGTTTCTTGGCACACTGACAAAAGCTGAACACTTACTTACCAGCTGGGACACAGCACAAGTAAAGCCTAAAGGTTGCTCTTGCTATGAAGTGGTATTGGCTGTTAATCAGAAGTTCCTTACTCCAGTAGCAGCTGAAAGGAGCAGAGGACTGTTACTTAATTCTGTTGCTTTTAAATAGAAATTTCAGGGGTTTGGCAGGGATTTTCTTGTACTTCTTCCTGTCCCTTTTCCTTTACATAAAAGAATGGCCTCTTTTATATACTTGGTTCTTATGATCATTTTGGTCAAGTGTCTGTGGTTTAAAAAGCAGTAAGCAGTTTTATTCTTTCAGTAACTGTTTTAAGCTGTTCCCCTTCCTCCCTGGAAGGAAAGAGTAGTGTCATTATAATGAGTTTGGACATGTTTTTACCATTTTTTATTGTATACTCTTACTGTATACACATTAACCTTGTTAATGTGCATGCTTTGTAGTATCTCAACCTTTTATGCTGCATATCTTGCTGACATTCTAAAAAGAAACTGTCTAAAATAGGAGCTCTGGAGAAATAACTGTTGGAAGCAATAGCTCTCACCAGTGCAAGCTCTATTGTTTACTATTGCTCCTCTGAGGGTCTTTTGTTTCTAAAAATAAACCATGCCAATATCAGCCCTGGAGTAGAGTTCAAGCTTTAGCATTGTAGTTGACAGCAAACCAAACCTAACTCACCTAAACAGTAAATGATAAATAGGTTATTTATGTTTATAGGGTAAAATTCTTACTTTACCAAAGCAAGATGGCTGGGAGTTTTACATGAAATAGCACCAGGTACCTATGTCTGAGGATTCTTTGGATGTGGAGCTTTGGCTGTTCAGACCTATAAGAGATTTAAATGTCTTATTAAAGCCTGTGTCTTGCCTTTTAATGAGTCTGTTGGCCTACACTATTTCATTTAATGCTTGTATCTAGCACCAAATAAAGAATCCTTCTTGATTTTCTAGGTGTCTTGCAGCAAATCCTATTACTTGTACAAGTTTTGTCTGCTAACTGAAGTCCCTAACGTGACAATCGGGCAATGCACATAGAATTCATAGTTAAGCCATCCCATCCATTCTTTGTATTCAACTAGGTACAGCATATGGCTCGAGTACAGAGCTCCCCTGAGTCCTATAAAAAGTGAATGATACAGAAAAATCTGATTATTTTGTGCAACTCATTTGCATTATTTTTATGTGCTGAAAGAATTAACACTATAAAAATCTCAAGGAATTGTAAGTGCAAGGAGTAAAAATATGCAGTTTCGTTCGTCTACTATAGAACAAGCAGCATATAGAACTTCAGCGTAGCCATCTTTTAACAGCTTATTTTTTCTCATTTGCTTGATTATACACTTATTCTTAGTATGCAGCTTCCTGGGTTTTTTCCCCTCTGTTACCCTTTTTCTCCACAAACTTCTAAATTCAGATTCCCAAAGGCTTCAGCATGCATAGCACTTCAGACCACTTTGAAGCTCTTTTTTTTTTTTTTTCTCTCTCTTTTTATAGTGGGGAAAAAAAGTGATTCACATGAGGAAAGGATATTAGGAGTATCTGGGAGAGTTACAGAAGAACTATAGGAGACTGTAATTGGAACTATAGGAGAACTGTAATTTAACCTCTTAGTCAGCATTAGTCATTATGGAAGCCTGTCTTGTCACTTACTTTCCACTAGAGAATATCTGCAAAAAGCAGAAGCCACAGATTGTATGCAGGGACTAAAGCACCCTGTAAGGGAAAAAAATCTGAGACCCCCAAAAAGCAAAGAAGAAGCAGTCAAAGCACTTTGTGTCACTCATTTTATTCACATGTACAAGCTGACACTACACTATTAAATATAGACAATACAGAAGCATTAAAAACAAATACTGTTTAAAAACTTTAAAAAACACATATTGCTTCAAGCTTAGATGGTATATCCCTATTGTTTTTAAAGTGAATTCAGTGCTAACAATAGCTGAGGCATCTTCCCCCTCAATTGTGCCCATAATTTCATTGGGGCTACTGTCAAGGTGTTGAGTCAGGCTCCATATATGGCTTTGCTGCTGAATGCACTGTCTGAGCTGGAAAATAAACTGGAACATCCAGGTTACCACACGTAAGACCCTCAGATTGCTAGCATTTGGTCCCTATCACAGTAAAAAAGAAAAAAGTCAGAGAGTCCTTTATAGTTCAGTGGCACTGCATTATACCATAAAAAATTAAAACGGATACACTTCACTACGTGTTAAAAATTCAGTTTAAATGTGCATTTGCTACCTGGATAAAATACTTACCAAAAATTCAGGTCTGTCCCTCAGGTTTGTAAAGTTTGGCTCTAAGTTTAGTGATCACCTTGACTATCTCAGCATCCAGTGGAAAAGTCAGTATTTCATAGTTGTGAAGATGTGACAGCAGTGACTGAACAGGCATGCTACTGTATTTTACAGGGACATTCTTGACGCAGTTTTCATGGTAACATTTTACACTGTAAACACTAGTCTTCACAACACTATAATTAAATTGCAGCATTACACACTGTAAAATTCCTGTTTCACTTAGCTAAGTACTTTCAGAAGCAAAAAGGAATAAACAGTTATTTTCATGAAGACTTTGGAGAACTGAAAATTTCCTGTGTTCTTACCAAAAAAGTTTTATTTCTAAAACAGGAGTGAGATGCGTTCTTCTCTTGACTGGATTCAAGAGTCCATGCAAGACAAAGTTCAGAACTTCCTTAATTGATAGAGAGATATTTACTATAAATTTTTTAGTGAGTCCAATTTGAAGCAAAATGGCCCCTCTGTAAGAATCTATGAAATACAGTTAAAGCTTTTACATCTAATAAGTTCTACTTTACAATTCAGTTGGCTTTTCATTTGTTAGTATCACAACACCAACAGTTTTCAGACCAAATACTTTGCACATACAGCTTGCAGTGACCAGAACTATACTATTTCATGTAGTCTAAGCAAACCACTAGCTTTTTAGTCAAATAATGCCCAAATGCAGGAAGGCTGCCCGATTCACAGAATAATTTACCCCTCACTTGAGGCATTTTATTACTTAAACCAAGATAGTACCAACATAGCACCCAGGGATTATTTTTAGCTACAGATCCTTTGAAAAATCAAAACAATGACTCACTTGACCTAAATTACTGTCTCTACTGTCTTCTAAAAAGTGGTCTTTATGGGGAACAGCTCTTGACTGGACAAGGATTAGAACTAGATAGTCTCAGTATACAGCAGTCTTGATGCTGTTGAAAATTCTCATGCTTTGTTGAACACCTAGAAAAAGTCTATTTGAGATGTTTAAAGTTTGGTACCCAATATCCAAGGCAGAAGACATGTAAGCCTCCTATAATTATTGAAAAAAACCCAACACCTAATGGGAGATACATCTTCTCCAAAAATGGGTATTTAAGGCAGGCACATAGTCATCTTGTCTCCTCCATTCCCTGTGGGAGGAGGGAACTGTAGAAGCTGTCTTCAAAAGCATGGCAAGGTGAGTCCTGCCCTACACAATCATGGAAACTGTTGAATGTGACAAAATGCACTGAGGGCACAGTCCATTTGCTGTAGTTACAGAAAGCCTACAAAGCCTGTGAGCAACAGGAACAGGCAGAGTTTGTGTTGAATAAGGCTGTTAAACACTACTGAGTTGGTGCTTTGACAGTGTTGTTCAAAGCTAGGGTGGCTTTCCAAATTGAACCAGCATCGGAAGCAACCTAAGCATATTTACAGCAGCTATTTAAAGGGGAAAACACAGCATAAAAGGAAATTAAAACAATCTTATGGAGTAAAGGCATCCTCTGAAATCATTTTCCCCAATCTAGGGCACTGTTCTATAAGTTTAGGAAGTTCTAGCTTGTGGTTTATTAGAAATTGAAATAAAGGGATTTTGTTGTGTATAAAACATTCTTAATCATACTTTGCATTCCTAGACTTAAAAGCTATAAAACCTTCAATAGGTAAGCTTGAACAAGAGTTGTCTGTATTTTTATAGCTTTATGCTTAAAAGGCAGGTTTAAAAATCAGATTATTACTTCATGTATTCTAGGACTCCTTAGTAAGATTAAAATTGTGAGTAATGAAACCTTTACTGATGCAATATAATTGACACTAGGAGGCAGCAGTACTTGGTCCCTTTGTGCAATTGCTTTCAATAACACAATCAGACTTTTCACTAAGTGTGTGTACTGTGTTGCAATAGTAATTCTAGAGTCCAGCCTGTCACTGAGAGTGAAGCTAAAACTAGTGCAGGTTTCTGCTGCAGAAGTGCAAGTGTGCTTCCTGTGGGAAAGTGTCCAGCCTGTAAAACACAAGCTTCAAAACAGTTAAACTGAGATAACCAACATATGTAACTAACACACAACACGCCTGAACAAAACTTTGAAGCTCACAACTACAGCAATAATCTGCTTAAAGCGGAGTTATAAAACTGAAAAAAAAAAAAAAAATTTTTACAGCCGCATGAGGGAAATAAAACCACTGAGGATGTCACAATGACTGTCTTACTACATAGAAGTAGGACCTACGAAGTGAAAATGTTTGAACTTGTTTACTAAAGGATACACCCCTCTTTCTTCCCCTAGCCCTTGCCCCCTCCCCTTCCCCCCACAGCGAGGGGTTTTGCACCAATTTTGAGAGGCAGAAAGCTTCTCAGGACTTCATCTATGAGTTTTATCAACACAATTTTCAAGTTTAAACCCTTTAACAATATACTTGTATAGTACCTCCACATGGAATGCATATTGCACTCTGACCCCCACTGAGCATAATATATATTCTTAAGTGTTAAAAATAGACTTCACCAGAAAGGAGCCAGCCCTCTCCTTCAATAAATGAATTTACATGATCAAGCGTCAAATTAAGTGCGACCACAAGGTTAGTACGGTGGCACAACTCGATACTGGTAGAACAAGCAACTGCACATTGAGCAGCAGCTGTCAGATAATGATTGTCTACATTAGTTATTTGGTACAACAGGAACAGCAACAGCAAAACTACCCTGTAGCTGTTTCTTGTCCTGAAAATGAGTAGTTTACTCTAGTGACCTTAGAAACAGCAATAAAAGTTAGCATCAGCAGATTCTCTGATCAAACAATATTTGTTTGTTTTGGGGTTCTTTAAAGTTTCCGTGTACAGACAATACTTGGTATTTGCCTGCCTAAAGCATCTACGTTTATTAGTGCTGGCTTCCTGTTGCCTGTCTTCATATCTTTATTTTGGTAAAAGTGTTGAATCAAATAGCATTATAAATACGAAGGCACCTCCATCACACCTTTAAAAGTCTTTCCCCAACATCATCTCCCCATGACTGGGATTTTTAAATAGGGGACAGCAGATTATTTGTAACCACAATCAGAAAAGTGTTTGCTTTGACTCCCTGCATGCTGAGGTGTCCGTGTCCCCCCTCCCCTCCCCCCCTCCCCCATACGCAAAGCAAATCGATTGAAGCATTAGAAAAATTCCCAAAAGGGGAATTGTTTAAACGTTTGGGTAGTTATATCTAAAAGCCTCTTCAAATGTTATGGCTCCGAGGATACACCCATACACCCCACTGTGAGGTAGGTAGCCAAGATAAAAACATTGTAACAAATACTTTAACAGCTGGAAACTCCCTATAAAAACCTTGCATAAGTAGTTTGATTCCTTGCACCAGTGTCCTGATATGCGTAACTCCTTTTGAGGATGCCTAAGGGAATCCAAATTCAGAGAGCTCTTGCTGAGTAGCATCTCATATACTCTGTCATCCAAGGGTTGTCTGCTGGGGAGGGCTTTGTTCGCCAAGTTGTTTCTGCTTCTGCTGATCGTACTCTCCTCTGAGAAAGCTTCCTTTTCTCCACTTGCCTCCTGTTCTTCGCTCGTAGAGCAGACTCATGAATCTAAAAGACCAGAGTTAATATTACAGCAGGAAAACGGCCTAGGAACCCCACAGGAATGCTGAGGATTGCTTTTAATTTGTCCCAATCCCCCACGCTGAAGAAACAAACAGGGCTTGCGAGTGAGATTATATTTTCTTCTGTGATTTGTCCCACTAACAGAAGCAGAGAATTTTTTTTCCATAAAAAAAATTCTTCAAATTCTGTTCTGCGTTATCTTTTCTGCTTCCCACTCTTAACTGGTTCCAAAAATCTTGAATGTTTCATAGTCTTACTCAAGACATTATAAAAACTTCAATTCTTCTATTTCTACCATATAAATCCTTAAGTACCTCTCAATATGCCCAAGCATCCCTTAAAATCTAAGCCATATTCGTAAAACCAATCCCTAGAGATTCCTTATTAGATGCTGAAAATCTTAATTTTGAACAATATGGTGAACACACAACTACACACAATTTATTATTAATAAATAATCATCGTTTCGCCAAAATTTAATCCAAAGATCCAGTTTCTATATTTGCTTGCTTCTATCTCCAGATTTAAAACTCTGTGTCCCATCTCAGTTAGGGGAAAAATAACACCTTTCAGGCATTCAAAAAAAAAAATAACCTCGCTAGGCAGAAAGTAATGAGTTCATACTTGAAGAAGCATCCTTAGTGAAAAAGCACTGCATAATTGAGAGCGTTTCAGAAATATTCTGGTCATTCAGTCCAAACCTAAGATTTTTGGTGATCTTAGGTGTTCTGAAAATGTTTCTAGCATAAGAAGTGTTAGAAGTCTTAAAAGGTATAAATACCTCTGCTCAAGTCAGGCATCAACCTCTTTTAGGCTTCAACATGAAGCACCAGTCATCTGTTATGAGAACTGACCAAAGCTTATCAATTCGGCAGCAGTGTCCATTATCAGGAAAGTCAGTTTCTTTCCAAAGCTGAAAGGCCGAAGTTCCACATTTTGCTCAAAGGGTTGAGCAGTCCAGGAGGGAAAAGGTTCAGCTTCAAACCCCTTCCAAAACAGCCCATCAAAAGCCAGTTCCATCTTTCACATCAAGGCTACCACCCACCTCAGTCTTGGGTCATAGAGTCAGAGTCTACATCAGCAGTAAGACAAGAACAAGACACTGGCAGGAATACATTAAGATTTATGTTTTAGCAGACTAGGAAAGTTACGGAAAAGAAAGAAATTAATCAGTTTGTTGTAACAGACTCCAACCTTGTTGTCCCTAAGCCAGGAAACAGACCCCCAGTATACCAGAATCCTGATGCTGTCCACAACCATATGAATTTTGTTTGTACTGTTTTGCTAATATTTATATCAGCCTTCTGATAGACCATTCTGTAAGCAAAGTTTACTGCTGGCAACCCACCAAAACAGACTGCTAGACAAGATATTTTAGCAGCCAAGCATTCGTACGCACCCTCTCACTGAAGCTCCTGTTCTAGGAAGTGCCCCAGCAAAAGTCACTCTTTCACAGCACAAACACCGCTCAGTGGGTATACACCTGCCTGCTGGGGGATGGCCCGTGCTAAGTGCCTGCTGCTTTGCTTTTGTTTGAAATTCGAAGTGTAGAAATACATTTATAACAGGCAGTTAACAGACAGTAACACTGTAACAACCAGAAACAAGATTGCCAAGGTTTAAACAGAATTTTCAATTATCAGTCAAACATGGGAAGTTTCAAAGCCAATTAACAGTTAAGAGCTATTTTACTGGGACATCTCAAACCTCTCCAAGTTTATTTCTAGAGCTTATTGCTAGAATCTCCATGCATTCAAATAAAGGGAAGCCTGAGCAGTTTTACTTAGATATTAGACATATCTAAGCACTAAGTAGTCGCTGCCCTTTAATGAAACAGAAGCTTTTACTTACTTCATTCACTGAAGCAGAAGCACGGACATTGTGAGTTTTCTGGCTTCCAGTATCTGTCTGTCTTTCTCCCCATCCATACAGAGCAAATGGATGTTTATTCTCCTTTGGTGCATCTGTCCTTTGAGGACTTTTGGCTGATTTTCGATCATTACGACTGGACAAGGCACTTTGACTTGGACGTCGTCCTGTACGGCTGGTTTTGTCTGCTTCCTTTGCAGAAGTGTGTTCTACAGTTTTTTCTTGCTCTTCCTTCTCCTGTTTTTCTTGATCTTCCTTTTCTTTCTCTAAAGGGAGAAAAAAGAAAAAAAAAAAGGTTACATTTTAAGTTCCAATGACAACATATAAGTGTCTGATTTAATACCTCTCTTAATACATCATTGAAGCTGTGCTTTTTTTAGAAATGGAAGATGTCATTACTTCCTTGGCAACAGACATATACCTTGTTTAAATGTCTTCATTCTTTCTTTAGTGACTACAATACAGCTTTCACACACTTAATAACGCCCTGTGCTGGTGAGGTTACAGATAACCAATAGCTCCAGGCAGAATTTTAATGACAGTTTCCAGTGATCTTCTGTCATTACTGTTTCATCCTTCCATGTTTCAGACAGCAAACAGATGGACTGCTGAATGCCACATAGATGCTGCCAACCAGTCAGATATGAAGTCTGATAAGAGTACGTGCAATATTAAATCCCTCATAGTATAAGCTTCCGCTGAAAGAAAAGTGATTCATTTTCAAACTCCCTGCTTACACATATATCCCTATTACAATTTTATGTTTATGGAGGAGAGGAAAATATGAAGCAGAAAACTAAAATGTGGTAGGCATCACCCTTACTTCACAGAACAGATAGCATGTTGTACATTTGAAGTTACCACTCTCTACAGGCATTTTTCTCCAAGGCTCACATCCCCCACACGTTTAAGCCTTCCCTAACAAGGGTCCAGCAATTGTCCTCCAGGCACTGGATATGTAGACCAAGATTTGTGGGAGAATTTAAAGGTTGTATTATTGCAATTGTGGATCATCGCTGAAGGCTGAATCAGCATTATATAAAACATTAAATAATAGAACCACAGGGAAACAACTATTCCATAACATCCAATCTTCTTTCATTATAATGCTAGGTAGGAATTAGTTTTCCTTTATTTGTGGCACTGGTGAGGCTGCACCTCAAATCCTGTGTTCAGTTTTGGGCCCCTCGCTACAAGAAGGTCATTGAGGTGCTGTCCAGAGAAGGGAACAGAGGCGGGGAAGGGTCTAGAGAGTAAGTCATGTGAGGAGCAGCAGAAGGAGCTGGGGTTGTTTAGCTTGGAGAAAAGGAGGCTCAGGGGGGATCTTATCACTCTCTACAACCACCTGAAAGGAGGCTGTAGCCAGATGGGGATCAGTCTCTTCTCCCAAGTAACAAGCAACAGAGTAAGAGGAAATGGTCTCAAATTGCACTGGGGAAGTCTAGGTTGAATATTAAGAAAAATTCCTTCCCCAAAGTGGATGTCAAGCATTGGAACAGGTTGCCCAGGGAAGTTGTTGAGTCACCAAGCATGGAGGTATTTAAAGACATATAGGTGATTCACTTTGGGACATTTACTGGTTGATTTGGCAGTGCTAGGATAGCAGTTGAGTTAAATTTCAAAGGTCGTTTCCAACCTAACTGATTCTGTTATTCTGTAATGAGTGAGTCTAATCAAATATACTTCTTACATTAGTAAAATATGACTTTGGAAAAAGTAAATACACAGAGCTCTGTTTTTATTCTTCATCCTGCAAATCTTGAACAGTAGTATGGACAAGCTGGAAGTATGTTAGACATGTGGCCACCAAGTACTGTGGGCACAGACATTACCATCCAATCTCTGGGACTTTTATACCAACCATGCCTTTTATGTAAAAGGCAGCTACAGGCCTTTTTTAACAGCATAGGGGTCCACTAGTGACTCCCTTTAAGTCTACAGCTTTGAGCATTAGTTGCTGCCTTCTGCTAGACACACAGTGATACGTTCAAACTGTGCTGACAGACACTCTAAACTTGCAAGTTTTCTACCACAACATGTATTTCTGGTTCTGGTAGGGATGAGCCTCAAGCCACCTCTGTTCCAAGTTTCAGCACTTTCAGCCACCACCATCATATGCTGGTATGCACAGAAGGAATTACTCCATTGGCATAGAAGGAGTTCATCTGGTTTTAAGCTTGTTTGCATATTGAGAGGTCGGCCATGGACAACTAGTAAAAATTTTACTGAAGTGTCTTCATCATTAAAAAGCAGAAGGGCTTTCCAATCCTGTGACAAAATAGCAATCATTCCTGCTAATTGCTGTGATTTAGCTAGTCAAGCAAGTACATGCCCCATCTGACACTGCTTTAATTTCACTTCTGCATCCATCCAGCTCTGATGAAATACAAGTTACCTGCCTGGCACACTGTTTAAGCATCCATTTACTCCCCCACTTACTTCATGCTTGTAGGGTAAAGATATTAAGACTTGCCACATGCCCCAGAATTCCCATAAGGCAAGCCTTATGCTCTCTTGCAAGCTGTTAGCCTTGCCAGCACACTTTCTACTTGCTGACAAATAGCACAGAGGCCCTGGTGTTGGCCCCTGTTCAGGCTTGCCAGTACACATCTTCTGATCAGTGCAGGTTATTCACTGCAGGTTG